AGCCAAAGTTAGGAAACACCGCCTTAAAGGAAGCTGTTGGGTTTGCGGTTTCCATGAGGAGCGACTCATGCTTCTGGCTCTTGAAGCCAATCTATTCAGGTTGGCCTAAACCAGGACGTTCCTACCTTGAGCCCCCCGACTCAGCCATGTGAAGTGGCTCCCCTTTGCTCTGTGACCCTTCTAAAATAGACCCCCATTTGGCTTCAGCAGTCCCTATTTGCACTGGTGTTCTCTCTTCTCGCTGCTGGCTCTTCCCCTCCCCAGCCATGTGGGTACACATCTGCCAACTTGAGATTAAAAAAAAAAAGTCATGTTGTGTTAGCTTCCTCCTTCACCCAGCTGGAAAAAGCCCACCTATTTAAGACTGATGTACTTTATAGAAATAACCAGGAATGATTTGACCTGCATCTACTGTCCTCTGCTTTTAAGACATATCTGTTTATCTGGGCCCCCTCTGGTCTTGGGGGAGCTGTGATCTTTCTTCGGAGGCAGCACGTCCATTCGCAAGCAGGATCACAGAGAAAGCTTTGGGTGCCCACATGCATGATGCAAACTAGGCCAAGTGGCATGTGTTTTCTTCCTCTTCTCTTTCTTTGGGCTGCTTCTAGATCTGGGGGATGTCTCTGGCTCTGAGCCTGTCCACAGCTTCTGAAGCACCTCTGCGCAGCTAGGAATCAGGTTCTCTGAAAGCCGCGTGCTGCAAGCAGCGAGCTGGATTATCTGGACACTCATCTTGTCATAGCTTTTGGCCCTGCCAGGGCAGCCTTTGATGAGGGCTCCCAGTGCTCGGGCTGTGAGACCCTCAGACCTAAGATGACCAGGGCCATGCTCCCCAAAGGGTCAGACCTTGATCCCTGGCTGAGCTCAGCCAAAAGGCAGCCTGACCCTGAGAACCTGCTGGGACTCTGAGCCCTCTGTTTGTCTTTCAGCCCCACAACACGGAAGGAAGGTTTGGGGAGTCCTCTTTCTGGAAAGGATCTGGACTCTGTTTCAGTATCTCGCAGCCAAGTGGTGGCAACCGCCAAGGAGCTGGAGGGGAAAGACGCTCTAGTCCGTGACCAGGACCTCTCCAGCCTTGACACACATCGTTCTGACTCAGCACCGAAAGATGATGCCAGCTTCAGGCCCAGGTAGCTTTTTACAGTGGTCTCCTGCCCTTTTCTTTCTGGCTTCGCCCTTCAGATAGACTTAGGCAGTCCTTGTAACTCCTCTCTAGTCTGAAAATTCCAGTCCCTTTGCACAGGAGATAGTGTTTCTTGCGTGAATGATTCAATAGCAGGATAAGGAATAGGTAATAAGTAATTGCAAATAAGGGGGTGGCTTATTTAGCAGGCCTGTGGCTAAAAGAGCGAATTTTGCCCCTTCTGTCTCCTCTGAACAGTTCCCCACCTCCCAAGATAACAGCCTTTGAGGATTTCAAGAATGAGCGGGGAAGCGAAATTAACCGGATCTTCAAGGAGAACAAAGCCATCTTGAACGACCGCAAGAAAAAAATGAACAACATTGTTCAGAGGATCAACATGCTCAAGCAGGAGATGGATACCACCCGCCAGGCCCTTGAGGTCCAGAAGTTGGAACGGGAGCAGCAAGGTAAGCAGGAGGAGCAAAAGGAGAGCTTGCTTTGTCCCACCTGTGTCCTGGTATGGCAGCTGATGGAATTCATGGCCACCAAATCGGCTGAGGCGGGCTTTTGCTGTAGTTTGGATCTCAGTTTTAGAGGTGACCTTCTAGTAGCAATGTGTGGGATAGTTTTAGAAGGATGCCCTGATTGCTAAATGGGCCTTCCTGTGGGGTGACGTTTTGGAACCTGCATTACTACATCCCTCCTTCCAACGTTAGAATCATGCTTGCTTCCACTCTAAGCAGACGGGAGACAATGTGTTTTTCCAGGGGAGTTCCTTGTTCCCCATAAAGGGCCTAGGCATCGAGTAATTAGTCGGAGTCCAAACCCTCAGGAACTGGTCTGGGTGAACGAGCCATTGGATTGTCGTCCCCACTGCCGCTCTGAAAACAGAATGTCTCAAAAGACCGACAGCATTGTTCACATGTAGTTGTCGAAAACACTCCTGAGCCTCTGCCTGTTTGTCGGGAGGTGGGAAAAACAGAAACAGAGGCTTCAGTGCTTTCTGTGAAACGTTGACTCAGCTGACAGCTGCAGAAGAGGAATGTCTTCACAGGAAGGAAGAGGTTAAAATGTGGGAGGAAAAAAGCACTCCCAAATGGGTTCAGCTCCACTTAAACGTGCATCCTGGTGGAGCTGAACATATTTGGGGACATATTTTGGGAACTCTTCCTTTCAGAAAATGGTTTTTCTTCAGGCCCCTTTAAGAAATGTTGGTGCTACTTCTGAATCTGTTCCTCCTCCTTTCCCATAATTGTGGGACATCCATCCGATAGTAATTCCTTCACCATCTCCTTCCTCAGGAAAAGCTCTGAGGAAGTTCTTATACATTTCCTCCAACTGTACACTTCCTTTTACGCTGTTGCTCTGTATCCTTTCAAAGGGGGGAAAATACCCCAATTGATGAAATTGACCAGATTCTTCTCCCAAGGGGTCAATTTCATCAAAAGGCCCAAGGCAGGTCCTATTGAAACTGGCAAGCAAGCAACATAACGGTTTATTTCAGTACTGAGAATGGAGCTCAACCATGACAGGTTTTACACATTGTTGAGCATCTTCCTTGTTTAATGGGTGTGTATATAATTTTGTTTACAGCCAAAAGACCCAAATAACAAAGTACAAATATAATCTAACATTTGGCATTAGATAAAACAGTTTAACAAATAATAATTTATTAAACTTGTATGCTGCCCAACTCACGACAACTCTGGGTGGATAAAATAATAAATATTACACAAAATGGCAAAGATCGCTTCTCCTCCTTGCTGATGCTGCTAGAAGCTGACCTCCTGCAGGGGTGGCACCGAGCTGAACACGGACCAACTGACATTAGGCTCGGGTGACAAGCCGGTTGGTCAATTCCTGTCGCAACCGATGGATCAACAGCCACGTGCAATGTTGAGCATGGCAGCACCCAGTTGACGACGCAGACGTGAAGATCGCCCAGTTGGACACAGTTGCTGCATTCGATCACATGAAATGGCATTCGTTGATCCAAAAAGCGGACCCCGCACCCTTCAGGGAAACTCTAGGAAGAAGAATAATTACGGAAAACATTTAAAACTCAAACTTAACTAATGCGTTACTAAAGACCTTTTTTTTTTTTATAGCATTGGTTAAAAATTTGGCTGTTGCTGTTGCAATTTTAGGTTTTTTATCTGCGAGTAGAAATTTTAACATTCAGAAATATCTCTTCCTGCTCTTGATTTTAAAATAGGCCAGATAATATCCTGCCGAAAACTCTTGTAAACTTCACAATACCCCTTATGGACTTTTTGCTGAAAAAAGAAAAAAAACTAACTGATGATTTATGGATTTGATTATTAGAAAGGGTAGATTATGGAAAGAAGGAAACTTTGATGTAACCTTACTGAGAGAGGGCAAAATATAAATGTACTTATAACTGCTGTTAAGACCACAAGCTACTTCTTTATTATTCTTTCTTTTTTT